AAAAAAAGGTTTGTTTCTTTTGTTAACGTACCCAGTCTGGAAGCATTATATATCAAGTTTACCCCAGCCTGGAAGCATTATATTGTATATGCGATGAAAAATTATTCTCTGTATTTTTTTTTTCTCTGAACTCGTGAATGATGAGTTGTAATGGTGGTAGTGAATATCCTTTTATACAATTTTTTATTAACAAAAGTGATAAGATAATTATGGATTGTATTTGGATAGATTTTAAATACCATGATTTTTGGGATGCAACAACAAAATATGCAATCACATGTATATATCTTATCACGTTAAAGGTATATCCATCCCTAAAAAACAGGAAAAAAAAACCATATATTTTGAAAGGATTTTTAAATTAGTTTCTACAAATGAAAAGTCAATGGGGTTGTTGACCAATTTTTTAAAAGTTTCCACAAATGATTTATTAACCTCCCTTTTTCAATATATATAGATGAAGCTATTAAGCTATAATTTGCCAATTATATGTATGGTGAGCATGTGTATGGACATCTTATTCTTTAGCAAGCATGACTTTTTGCATATTTCAATCATAGCCTGAAAAAGCATCATAACTGTTCATGCTTTAATTGAAATGAAATTAGATAATATGAAATGAGGGTAAGGAACTCATGCAAATTGCAACACTGAAACATTAAAGACTAGTCTTTTCTATTTTCTAAAGAAGTTCAATATAAAACCTAAAAATGGGTTGGCCAAGTGAAAAGGATCTTTAAGTAAGAAAAATAGTAAAGCGTAGTCTCGGCTGTTAAAACAAGCTCCTATTTTGTACATAACATTGATTTTTACAGCTAGTTCTTAACTTCATTTAGTTTTAACCTTATGTAAATGAAATGTATGGGGCGCGTACAAATGTGCACATTAATGGGGGTGTTTGGTTATTGGCGTTTAAGCCATATTTTAGCTGTTTGATCTATTTTTATTTGACTTTTTAATCAACTAATTAAAAGTGTTTGGTTTTGAACTGATTCAACAAGTTTATTTGTCCCCGAAACGCTAAAATTCAAAAGTTGTTTGTAGGTTTGAGGATAGAGGTTTCCATTATGTAATTGCATTTGAGAGGGTTTAATTATTTGCATTTGTTCGGCTTTTTTCTTGTTGCTTTCGTTGTCGGTTTTTGTTTATTTATTTTTATGTCATTTTGCACTTTTTTTTTTCATTTTTTAGTTGAAAAAAAAAAATGGTGTTATTTTGGTTTTATTAAAAANCATTTTTTATATTTTAATTTAATTGTTTTTAGTCTGAGTTATAATAAATTTCTTAAAGAAATATGAAATACAAAATAAGGGAATAAATGCTTAAATAAATAAGTACAATCAGCTAATTTTACTAAACATATATTTACAAAATGCAAGTAATAATTGTTGGTCATACCAGCTATTTCAATCCGCTGGTCAAAACAAACTATTTAAATCCGCTATCCACTAACAGCTAACCCGTCAAATAAATCAGCAACCAGTTGAATTTAGTTGGGAGAATTACACCAATGACAGCCTAGAACCAACATAGAAACAAAAAAACACATAAACATTAAGAACTAAAAGGCTCTCACATAGGCCACATATGAAGAATAGAGGCTCACAACAGGAGAATAGAGAAAGAAAAAAAAAAATACACAAAAACACAAGAAAAAACCTACAACACTATTAAAAGAGCTTCCCACTTTTGCCACTTCACCTCTGATGAAGAAAATCAAAAGTCCATGCAGTGGCAAAAAGCAATCCGACGTGGAAAAGCCAAATGTAATATTATGGTTTGATATCGCTCTATAATACTCGATTTATGGCTTGATGAGTTTTTATATGGTTTGATATCGCTCAATAATTCTGCCTAGTAATACTAATATCTTTCTCAAATCTATTTGGATTCAAACTATATCCTTTTAAGGCATTTTCACAAACATTTTATCGACATGGCTTTTTCTTAAAAACTATCTCTTCATATCTTATATACAAAAGTAATACTATAAATATACAATAAATGAAACTCTCTGTTTTGACATATCATACTTTGAAGATCTTTAAACCCTTAAGAAGAGTTGGAATATCATACTTTGAAGATCTTTAAACCCTTAAGAAGAGTTGGAATTTACAATTTCTACGTAAAAGAAGAATATATATAACACTAGCTTAAAAAATAAAGATTAGCATTTTTTACCAGTACCAAAATAAATAGAAAGAGAATTCATTATCTTGCAAGTCGCATTGTACTCCAAAAATTGACAAACTATTTGAATTTTTCCTCGCTTTCCCCCTCTCTTTCTTTCCCTATGTACTCTATTCTTTTGTTAAATTATTTTGTTAAATATTAAATTTATTTATTGGGGTTACAATTAATATATTTAATTTTAGTTTGAACAATAGGGGCTAATACTAGAGTTTAAACAATTGGAGTTAGTATGTAGCTTTGAAGAAATAAACGTTATTACAACTCATGAGACCAATTTAATAATATTCATTTTGCACTTATATGAAATCATAGAAAAAACAACACGTTAGTAAAAAATAAATGCAGTATTCATGGGCAAAAACTTATCCATTTCTTTGTGTTTATATATC